TATTAAACGAAACGCTGCATTTATCGTGCAGATCGTCCCTATGAAACATTTTTGGAAGTGTACAACGCACTAATCAACAAAGAAGTTCAAGGAATGTTGATCGACACCTACGAAGCTGGAACCAAAAGAGATCAATTCAAGGACCCTCGGAATCGTATCCACACTATATACGACTACAAGTCTACCTACGGAGTGGTTCTGGCTGGTAACTCGACCAGGTTGCTGCAGTGCTCCAAAAGCTACATACAGAGTCACCAGGACGAGATGTTTGAGCACATTGGGAAGTTTGTCTATACCATTAAGGCAATTTACGTTTAAATATTTTGATCTTGTCTTTTACATATAGAATGACCATGACTGAAGATCGAGGGAGTGAGTAAAAAGCAGGAAAATAATGAACGAACCTTGAACGAGCGAACAAACAAAGGAACCGACCAACGAACGAACGCACCGACCAACGAATAAATAAACGAACGAACGAACGAACGCACAGACGAACTGACCAACGTACGAACGCACCGACCAACGAATAAATAAACGAACGAACGAACGTACAGACGAACGGACCAACGTACGAACGAATGAACAGCCTAACGATCAAACGGCGTCATGAACCAAAGTACGACGACTGACCGAATGATTCAATACTGAACCGACCGAGTTTCATTAAACGAGGAAAAACAAAAAACAAGACACAAAATGGGAGTCATATTACTGCTATTCAGCTGATGAACGAAGAAATCACCTTCTAAAGAATGACCGACTGAGCTCTTCTAAATGCAGAGGAAACAAATTAAAAGAAGCGAGTGAACATCGCGCCAGCAGTAAAAGCTCTTTTCTTGCCATATGAATACGGTTATATTTTTTCAAAGTCCTTTTCGCGACCCCTTTTGTCTTATAGCGCCCCATCAAATCACTACCGTCATTTCGACATTAATTTCCATATTTTTTTTGTTTGTTTTCATTTCGATAGGAAGATCACGTCCCTGAAAGTATAGAAATTGCATCAGGTTTGTTTGATCCGAAGAACAATATGTTCAGGTTGTTTACGTACACTGTGGCTGGTGTCGTATCACTGGCAATTCTACTGGGACTCATACTGGAATTTAGACAATGGTTTTATGCCCGTCAAAGAGAACAGCTCGGTGAGTATTAAATACATTAAGCAGTACTGCTACTTTGCCAAACCAAAGGCGAGGCTTTGCGCCGAATCATCTTTCCCTACGACCCAGTGCGAGCATGTGCAATAGGTCCAGTTACTAAGACTTGCGAAGGAACTGGTTACTAGAGCTTATTTTTAGTCTTTTGAGGGCAACCACCGCGTCCCCAGAGCTCACCTTTTCTGTGAGCCCGTAGTGTCTTTGTTCAAGAGCGTATTTCTGATGGGACCGTAATTTTCGCATGAAACGAGTGTGTGATTACATGACGGGAGAAAACCAATTGGAAAAAAGAGCAAATATTTTATCCCTTTTCGCTTTGAGAATGCTCTTTTAAATAGTTTGCAATTGGACATCTACATGTAAAGATAGCTATGGATGTATCCGTCATTACACTACTCCAACAAATCTTATTCGTTATTTTGTGACAGGTGACCCAGATAGAGAAAAGACCAAACATCTCCAAGAAATGAGAGCTTCTGTGGAAGACTTTTATCGTAACTTCAAAACGAATTATTTTCAAATGACAAAGAGACATCGATCCCAGCTTAAGAGCCTTGAGACTCGTCTGCAAGACAACAACATGCCTTCTTCTAGGGCGAGTTGGCCGTGGTCTAAAATTATTATTCCTGGTTTCTTTAAAAGCAATTACGATGGAAAGACGAAGTCTCCTACCGAGAATATCTACGGGAATCCTGAGGCCTTTTTGTACTAGTGAAAGATAGGATCAAGAAGTTGTAGATATGGAGTCCGCCAGACTAGTATCGTTCTTAGAGCATTATATTCCCTCCTTGTAGTCCAAAAATCATCCGAAACAACAAGCTTTCCGCAAATTGGACGAATTTTCATCGGATTCTTGCGGTGGACTAATGAGTTTTGATCAACTTTCGTAGAAAAATCTTGATACACACGACTCTCGCCAGATTTCGCTATCACAATTTTGGTCGATTTGATCATTTAAGATCACTCTAACTTTTGGAGACCCAAAAAGATGTAGGAACCATCAATCTTGGGTCACCACTTTTCTTACGGTGCAAGAGATATTAGTTGTCAATCGTTACTCATTAACAGCCTATTGGCTGTACGCCAGAATTAACCGGCATTTACCACTGGTGTAGTTTTATTAGCAGGGTTATCGGATAAACGCAGTAAGGCAACTCGTCGCAACAGATCATCCTTTTGAAAGGGTAATAAAGGTTACTTATGTCCCAATTTGGCGACATAGGCCAGTTAAACACATGAAGCAGCCTTGATTTCACTCTGACTTTCCTCGACCGTCCTCCATTAGGTAGCCGAACTCATTCAATTTATCTTTTTATCTTTACGTAAATTTGGTGCTTAGGACTCGAATATCACCTCCAAAGCCTCTAGTAGACAAAGGCCGTGTGTGTCTTTGAGTATCAAAAAAGAAAAAGAGCGAACTATTTTTGAAATTCTATTCCTTCCCAGTTTCAATAGTAAACTCTCTTCCCTCCAACCATACAGCCCTAAGAAGTGATAAACACGTAACTATCCTTCTTTGCATTATTAATGCGTTAGGGAAGGTACGTTTTTTATTGGGAGGGGGTGGGCCGG